GGACAGGTTCATGGGAAACTATTAAACAGAACATTTTGGGATAAATCCTGTCATCCCTAAGCCAACAACAGTTCATGACAGGGAGGGTATGACAGGAGATGGACCACTATAGATATGCCCCATTCATATACTCTTCCTCTAAAGCTTTTACTACTTGCCAGCGTTGGAGATAGGGTACTAGGCTAGGTGGACCATTCGCCATAGCCAGTATGGCACTTCTTACATTCCTAAAAATAACCAAGTCTAGATTCAGCTAAGCTGAACAACCACTGCAGCTGAACGAGCAATTGACTCAGAGGTGTGGCCTATGGCCCAAGAGAGCTGTGTTCTGCTCCTGGCCTTGCCACCCACCTGCTATGTGACCCTGGGAAAGTCATTTAATCTCTGTTGACCTTTCTTTGCCCTAGATCCTACCTGCAAACATTAACCCTATTGATACATTTAATACACTTAAAACAGAAGCACCCTCCCTTCATTTGAAGGCAGATACTTATTCCAACATGGGAAGGAGGACAACCTAGCAGGCAGACCAGGCCTTAGACTGTAAACTCTCTCACAGAAGTATGAGGGTAAAAACTGGAATAAATGACTGTTGAATTGACTGAAATCAATGAGGAGTTTGCCACAGCCTTTGACAGGGGTGGGATTTCAGTTGGTACCATGGACCTTGGAACAGACTTGTGGGTGCCAATGTACAAGAAATAATTCATACCCCAAATGATCACCCACAGCAGGAAACAATGAAAGCAAACAGAACAGTGTTCAACCCAAACCTGCTAAGCCAAACTGTGCTCCAGTTAGCTTGGATCTGACAGCAGCTATAACAATGAGGGTAATTAACCACAGGAGCAGCTTGCTGAGGAGTCAGTGATTTTATTGCCAGAAGAGGCCATCTGATCATACAGTCTGGGTGCTCACATTGCATGCACAGCCCAAGAGACTTGGTGGGCTCCACCCTCTGGAGTCTGTAAAAGGATGCCTTTCTCCTAGATGTATTTTAGTTCAGACACAAGTTGCAGGGCTTGAAAATGTTCATTTATGTAACAGGGAACAATAATTCCATCAACTGTAGGAATCCCTGTGTTGTGCAAGATGTCAGATGAGAAAATCACAATGGTTCCTGCTGGCCTGCAAGCTTCCTCTGTGTGAACTGGGAACACTGCTGGGCAGCCCCAATATATAGCATTAACTAGAGTTAGTGAGAAAATAATGACTGCTGCAAAATGTTGACATTGGGACTCTTCAGAGAATCTGGCCAAGCTGTAGAGATAACAGATAACAACAGCAGCAAGACTATTGCTGGAAGGAACTACAGTCAGAAGGCACAGCAATCCTTACTGCAGATGTCTCCAGACCCAGGTGATGCCTTGCCTCCAGTTCACTCTCTCCCTGAGGGAGATGTGTAGTAGGAGTCTCTGCAAGGGGAGCCTAGTGATCGTTGGCCCCCAGGAGTTTCTCCAGGAGGTCGGTGCTCTGTGCCCCAGGGCCAGCTGCTCAGGATCCAGATTTTACCTGCAGTGTCCCTTTAAGGCAGGGGTGGGCAAAATGCAGCCCACAGGCCGGATGTGGCCTGCCAGGCCATTCTATCTGGCCTTCAAGGCCCCTAAAAAATTTAGAAAATTAATATTTATCTGTCCCTGGCTCCCTGTCATGTGGCCCTCGATGGCTTGCCAAAACTAAGTGGCTCTCCACCCAAAATAATTGCCCATCCTTGCTTTAAGGCAATGATGTTCAACCAGGGTGCCCTGAGATCCTTTCAAGGGTACCAATGGGGTACCACATACGTTCAGCACCATTAGGTAAGCAAATTCGATACATAAAATAGACCCAGAAATTTCAAACGGGAATCAAAAGTGATCAAAACATTGGCCCTGTTGTGGTCTTTCTTTGTTCTTTGCAACAGAAGAATTACTCTATTACTCTGTAGTTCATAAATGAATGAAAGCTAAGAGCTAGCTTTTTTTTTTTGGGTTGCCTTGAGTCTATGACGGGTGCTTCCAATTTAAAAAGGCTGAGAACCACTGCTTTAAGGAAAGATAAGGATCAGGCCAGTGACTGTGAAACAGCTTGTTTTTATGACTAATCTGCTCAGATCACAACTCAAAGGGAGAATCCTTTCCAAACTGCAAGCTCAGCTCAGTGCTGGAGCATCAGCCTGCTCCATACAACCTCAGCCACAATGAACCCTGCTGACAACGCGGCACACTGTGTGCAAAGCAAAGCAGAAGGCAGCCTGCTCAATTCCCTTCCCCATTGGGCTGGCAGCCCCAACTGAAGCATGAACTCTTGTGGTCAGTAAACTAAACAGGCCTGACTCACTAGGGGCAGGAGCAGAGACAGAAAACCCAGTTTTTGCCACAGCAGATCACAGTCCTACAAGCAAACTGAAATGCTACGGAGTTAGTGCTCCTTGCATAGCAAGTTTGGGAAGAGAAGGGAGAAGCAGAGAACAACTGGCAGGGGAGAAAGAAACTGAATAAAAATGGAGCGGAGAAGGAGACCAAGTGGAAAACGAATAGAGAATTGAGAGGAAAGGAGCAAACTGGGGAGGAGAAAATAAACAAAGCCCATGTGCTGTTCAGAGTTCACCCACTTTTGCCCAGGGAGCACCAGAGGGCAACTGGAAGGAGGGCTTTTGAGACCTAATTCTAAGCACAGACATCCCCTTTAGCTGCAAAAGCATGGGTGGAGGTCTTTAAATGTAATTACCCTTGGAATAAAAAGCAGGGGTTTAAGATTACAAGGGATAGGAAGAGTTTCTGAATTCAAAGCAGTTTTGCAAACTCCACAAATAGTTGGAGAGATTCATGCAGCGGGGGGCTCACCCTCTTGCCCCTGGCCAAAACCCTCCCTAATGAACCTGGCCACTGATACAATGCTACACTAAACTCTGCCCCATACCCACAGCTAGCAGAGGACAACCCAGAGATCTGCTCTCCCAGTCTCACCTCAGCATGGAAACAAATGAGAACAGCCAAACACTGGTGCCCCATTTTACACAGGGCCATCCTTGGGGCCCTGGTTTTATGGCATTGACTGGGCCTTACAAGACTTGGGTTCTTTTTCTGGGTCTTCCCCAAACCTCTTGTTTGCAGAAGAACTACCTTAGTCACTGGGAAAATCAACAGGAGCTGGAGCATGATTACCTTGGAAAATCTGGACCATAAAAAGAACTACTCTAACTTACAGTAAAGACCCTGAAGCTCTCCATGCCTCACTTTCTCATCTCTAAATCAGCAACATCATTGTTTACTTTCCATTAGTTTACTGACACTGCTTTCTAAATTTTGTGGGCAATCTGATGAGTTCCCTCTTTGTGCCTCTGTTTCCCCTCCTAGTCTTAGCTTAGATTATTTCAAATACAGTTCTTTGGGACAGGAGCTGCTTCTTAACAGAGATCAGTACAGCACCCCACACTTGGTTTTTACTGAAATCTCTAAATGCTATTGTGACACAAACAGAAGTCATGCAAGTTTTGTGCATTACATCTTTTGTGACTCCTCTTTCTATCAGTATTCTTCAGGATGGGTCAGGTCATACATATGCAACCAGTAACCTCAGAGGGTAAAATCTGGACCAGCATATTCTTGTCCCTATTGTTATTTTATACACAGAGGAAGAAAAAAACAGCACAGGCCTTCTAATTTGTCAGTCACAAATCTGGTTTAGATTTACAAAGTGTACTCTAATAAATTAGGCCAAGGCCATAAGTTTGTTTTCATTTTGGCAAACATAGACAATTTTAATTTTTTTCTTTTTTGGATGCTAATGTGGCACAATGAATTAAAAGAAGTGACAAAAATGGACACTGATCACTCCTTTCTGGAAACAGACACATTCTGGGTTCTAAAACATTTATAATGGCTATTACACGGGATGTCTTGAAAAGCCACAGGCATCTGGCAAGAGTTTAAAAAAACAGATTTTGTCAGGAAAAATTAAAAATCATAGTTGATAAATTCCCCAACTAGGCTCCATTCAGCAAAGCACTTAAGTAGCAGCTTAACTCCTAGTGGGACTCAGACCTACGCTCAGTGTTGGGGCTGAATGAGGTGCTCGGTGGCACTGCGGCCTGAAAAGATGGAATGGTTACAAACCCACACCAACCCTCCCCCTGAAGACAAAAGGCTTCCATATTGCAACTACAGTTTCCAGAGCTGGCAAGCCAACTCCTGAGCAGTTTGGTTAACATCCAGCCTGGCCTAATGAACTCCTGTCCCACAAGACCCACTCTTGCCCCCGCAGTCCCTCTCTCTGTCGCATTCTTCTCCTCTTATGATACAGCCTCCAATTCCTTGGAAGCTTCCTTTGGGCCGCACTGACTTTCTGTTTGCGCTTACCAGCCTGTGTCTTAAAAATAGCAGGAATTGGATTGAAGGGACACTTCCCCCCCTCTTTTGAGCCCGCCTGTCTGGTACCACCCCCAAGCTGTCCAGACTCTTGGGTGGATGTTTGCCAACTTGGCCAAAAACAAGGAAAGGGAAAAAAAAAAATAATAATACAGCAACACGCAACCAAGCCACACAAGCACTCCTGAGCCTGCCTTGGTGCTGGGGGGGAGTCTCTGGGTCTTTATGGACCTCTGGGGGCTGACAAGCCACACACAAAGCGATGTGTGCCAGGTGGCTGTCACCTCCAGAGGCTGAGGGGCCCCAGGCCCTCTACCTTTGCATCCACCCCAGAGTTGTTGGCCTGAGGGGATGCGCCAGGTGGATGCATTTGCTAAGGGACAGCCCAGGCAATGGAGTGGACTGATCTGGGCAGACAGGGGCACCTTTTGGGACAGAGGATTGGGGGGTCATTATTTTTGAATGAGCTGTGCAGCCTCATTCCAGCCCAGCCCCACTCCCGGCAGCCAGTCCTCCACATCTGGTTTCACTCAGCTCCTCCTGGAGCTGGCTCCTTCTCTCCCCCCCCTCCACCAGAGAAAGGGGCGAGGGCAAGACCTCCTTGGCCCAGATGCCCCCCCGGACTTGGCACCCCCCTTTGCAAGCCCCTACCTGAGCGAGCAGCGCTGAGTCCCGCATCCAGGCTCAAGAAGCACAAAGTGCAGCGCAGCAGCCGTGGCCATAGAGAGCAGGCGGGATTCAAGAGTTTCATGCCCGGGGATGGAGTAGCCGAAGGGGGCTTTTTTTGGGATGGAGGCTGGGTTTTTTTCTCTGCCCCCTACCTCCCCGCCCCCTCTCCTGTCTCTCTTCCCTCCTGTCCTTGCAGCCTTGGTGGGTTAACTGACTGTTTTCTCCCCTGTTGCTCTCGCTCAGGCCGGGAGGAGGATGCAGGGACTGGGCTGGAGGAGGGAGGGGGGGGGGAAGGAAGGACAGCTTGAGGAGGAGGAGGAGGAATACCAACCAAAAAAAAAAAAAGTGTGTCTCTCTGTGTCTGTTAATGGTTCAAAGCGAGCCTCAGACACTGCGTCACCGGAGAGCCGGGCAGTCCCTCAGTTGTGGGCCGATCCCAAAAAAGCTGGGAAGGGGAAAGGGAGGGAGGGGAAGAAGAAGAAGAAAAAAAAAAGTTTCGGGCTCTCAGCAGACGGCTGCGTGGCTTGGCAGGCGGCGCGGGGCTCGGGGCTGCT